ATCAATAATGTAAGCAGCCACCTTAAGAATTTACATAAAGAAAAGCAAAAAAAAAAAAAAACACAAAAAAAACAAAGCAATCAGAAGTAAAAATAATAAAGAGAGTAAATCAATAAAATTGAAATCAGAAAAACAGTAGAGAAAATTAATGAAACCAACAGCTGATTCTTGAAAGAGATTAATCAAATTGTTAAGCCTCTAGCAAGATTGACAGGATCAAAGATAAAAGATACAAATTACAATATCAGAAATGAAAGAACCACCACTACTGACACCACAGCATTAAAAGCATAAGGTTATGTATGTATATATGTATAGTAGCAATAAATAATTAGAAAGCACATTTTAAATAGTAATTTCATTTAAAATAGCTCTCAAAATGTGAAGCACTTAGACATAAACCTAACAAAACATATACAAGATATGTATGCTAAAAACTACAAACCTCAATGAAAAAATTATAGATGACCGAAATGAATGGAGACATGTGCCATGTTCATGGATTAAAACACTAAACATGTTAAACCTATTAATTCTACGAAATTGCTCTGTAGATTTAGTGTAACTCCAGTAAAAATCACAGCAGAATATATTGTAGATATAGACAAGCTAATACTGAAATTCATATGGAAAGGCAAAGGAACTAGAATAGACAAAACACTTCTTAAAATGAATGGAGAAATTATACTACACAATTTTAAGAATTATTTAAAGCTTCAGTAACCAAGAGTCTGGTATCAGAGAAGGGATCAGTGGGTTCTCATAGATCAATGGGACATAAATAGACCTGCACCAAATATGTAAACTCATCTTTAACAAAATGCAAAAGCAATTCGTTGGAGAAAGGGTAATGGAACAATTGGAAACAATTAGTATACAAAAGGAAATTCAACCTAATCCTCACATGTTATGCAAAAATAAGCTCAAAATGGATCATAGATCTAAATGTAAAACACAAAATTATAAAACGTTCAGAAGAAAATCTTCATGACTTAGAGTTAGGCAGTGAGTTTGGACATATCTAAGAAGAATATATATGTACATATTTGATAATTTAAATTGGACTTTATAAAAATTTAAAACTTTTGCTCTGTAAGATGAGGTAAGAGTGAAAAGATAAGCTATAGACAGAAATAAAATCTTTTCAAATTTCATATTCATCAAAAGATTTGCATTCAAGATATATTTAAAAACTCTTAAAAATCAATGATAAAAATACAAAGAACATGATTTAAAAGTGGGCAGAAGTCTTGAACAGACTAAAGAAGATATGAAGAAGGTAATCAAACAGAACTATTTGCAACATCATTAGTTTAACTTAGGGAAATGCAACTAAAATTATAATGTCATAGCACTAGAATGATAATTATAAAAAGAAAACAAAATGAAAGACCCTATCACTAACAACTCCTGTTAAGGATGTGGAGCAACTGGAATTCTTATACATTGATTATGGGAATACAAAAATGGCAAAATTGCTTGGAAAATGGGTTGGCAGTTTCTCAGAAAAGTAAATAAATGCTTATCATATGATCCATAAATCCCATTACTTAGTACTTATGACAGCAAACTTTAAATTTATGTTCACAAAAAAGCTGTATATGAATATTTATAGTAGCTCTGTTTGTATTTGCCGAAAATTGACAATAATCAAAATGCCATTCAACAGGTGAATAGAGTAGAAAAACTGTGGTATCTGACTATTGTCAATTAAAAGGAATGAATTATTGATGTGTGCAACAGCTTGGATGAATTTCAAAGGCCTTATACAGAATGAAAGAATCCAACCTCAAAAAGTTTACCTACCAAATGATATAGAATTTCAACAAGGCAAAGCTGTGATGGAAACAAATCAATGAGTGCCAGGGGTTGGGGTGGGGGAAGAGTGTGACTATAAGGAGATAGCATGAGAGGTTTTTGGGGAACTGTTGAAGCTGTTCCACATCATGATTCTCATGGTGATTACGTATATCTATACATGTGATATAATTCATAAAACTATAATTTATAAAACTATAACTTATATGACTATGAATTCATTTAAAAATTACAGTTAGAAGAAAAAAGTCTTCCCAATGTTTGACAATTGCGTTTAGATTATCTTTCACACTCTATAGCAGGAAATGAATGGTTTCCATTCTCTGGCTACACTCATTTTCCCGATGTATTTTCCCACCATTGTTGTGAATCTGTTCTCAGTATCTCACTCACTTTAGTGTTTCTTTATTCCCTAAAGATCTGAGTCATAATATACAGCCTCACCAAGGCTTAGTTATTTGAGACCAGCAGCATATCTGGAGCTAGTTACCTGGCAGATGTGATTAGTTAAAACTTTACCTTATTCACCCAAGGCACGACTTGAAAATGGGATCAATATTTTCATCTGTGAGGTTTTAAGGCTTTTGTAGGCAAGGATGAATTTCATTCTACTGACAATCTGAACAATTTTTCGTGATTCCAATAACCCTATGAAAAGATAAAGGCAGCTGGGTGTACGTACCCTAGAAGAACTATGGTTGAAAGAAGAATATCAACCACTCAGATAAGTGGTAATTAAGTATTTTTCATCTTAACTAAGGATACAGAAAAAGGAAATACACATCAATTACACCATGAAGGATTAATTGTGCTATATGGAGAAATTTCCTATCAAGGAAATTTTTTCACCTTCCTGAAAAGTATGGCGGGGGTTGGTCACAGAGTTATTCTCTAGATCTCTTTAAGAGAAGGATGGATTCCTTTTTATTTTTTTAATTGACAGATTAAATTTTATGTACTTGCTGTGTATGACATGATGTTTTCAAATATATATGCCTTATGAAATGAAAATTGAATCAAATTAACATAGCCATTACATCAGATAGGAGCACTTTACATTTACTCTTTTATTTTTTAAGAATACAATAGGCCAGGCGCGGTGGCTCACGCCTGTAATCCCAGCACTTTGGGAGGCCGAGGCGGGTGGATCACTAGGTCAAGAGATCGAGACCATCCTGGTCAACATGGTGAAACCCCGTCTCTACTAAAAATACAAAAAATTAGCTGGGCATGGTGGCGCGTGCCTTTAGTCCCTGCTACTCGGGAGGCTGAGGCAGGAGAATTGCCTGAACCCAGGAGGCGGAGGTTGCGGTGAGCCGATATCGCGCCATTGCACTCCAGCCTGGGCAACAAGAGCGAAACTCCGTCTCAAAAAAAAAAAAAAAAAAAAAAGAATACAATATATCATTAATGATAGTCACCATGTTGTATAATAAATCTCTTGAATTTATTCCTCCTATCTTTAACCAGCATCTTCCTAACACCTCCAACCAGTTCAGTCCTTAAACCACCATTCTCCCCTCTCCTATGAGATCAGTTTTTCTAGATTCTGAGTATGAGTGAGATCATGCAATATTTGTCTTTCTGTGCCTGGATTATTTCACTTATCATAATGTCCTCCAGGCCCAACTGTCTGAATTGCAAATGAGAGGAGTTCCTTCCTTATTGCAGTTGAGTAGCATTTTACTTTGCATATATAGCACATTTCCTTTTTCCATTTATCAACTCATGGACACTTAGGTTGATTTCATATCATTGCTATTGTGAATGGCACTGCAGTAAACAAAGAAGTGTAAAATATCTCTTTGAAATACTTATTTCATTTGCTTTTGAGATATATAAATATATCTGGTGGTGGGATTGCTGAATCATGTGGTAGTTCTGGTTTTAATTTTCCAGGGAACCTTCACACTGTTTTCCATAATGTTTACACTAATTTCCATTCCCACCAGCAGCACACAAGAGTTTCCTCTCCTTCACATCTTCACCAACACTTATTATCTTTTGTCTTTTTGATAAAAGCCATTCTAATAGGTGTAAGGTGATATTGTGGTTTTAATTTGCATTTATCAAATGATTAATGATATTGTGCATTTTTCATATACCTGATGGCCATTCATATGTCTTTTTTTGAGAAGTATCTATTCACACTTTTTGCCCATTTTTTAGTCAGGTTGTTTTGTTGCTATTGAGTTGTTTGAGTTCCTTATTTATTTTGGATATGAACCCCTTATCAAATGTATAGTTTATAAATATGTTCTCCCATAGGATAGATTTTTAACCGTTTGGGATGGTTTAAGGGAGACCTAATGGAGAGCTTCAAAGAGAGCATTCTGTGACTCTATTGCGGATTCTGGCATACTTTTTTCAGGATGCTCTTTTCCAGGTCAATATTTAAAGAACTTGAAGACTGCAAAGCTTATTCTCTTAAGATGAGAGGGAGCTTCTCCTTCACTAACGATCTGAATTTAACACTGGACCTGTTAAAGCCATATTCATTTGCAAAATATTTGCTCAGCTTTGATGCTATAAAAGCCTCTCCAAAGCTAAGGAAACCCTGAGAAGTGGATTATTCATGCGACTCTGCAGAGCTTGGTATCAGGCATCGCTTGTATTTAATCTTTCCCTAAGCATTAACATTCAGAGCTTATGAAAAATTTGTGATGTATACTAAGTATAGCCCATCCACTTATGATCAGAGTCATCATCTGAGTGTAAGATGTCTGTCCTTCCAGTGAGAACTGAAAGCCCTGGTGGAGGAAGATGGAAAACCCCAGAAACGCTTGTTGTTTTCTTTATTTTTCATTGAGCTTCTGGCTAGTATTTGATAAGGTGTCACAGATTTAATCAGTTTTAGTTTAAACAGAAGATTGAGAAAAAATATCTTCTTTTCATTACTATTAGAAAAAAATCCTAGAGCTTAATTTTGACTGCATGAAATGATGTCTAATAACAAATATTTGTAATTGATGTATTCCAGATACTTGCAGAGTAGAAAATACAATGTTATTTTCTTTAAGAGGAAATTGGGTATGTATAGAATGTCAGAGGAAACAAATTTAAGAGCAAGATTCTGAATGATGGTTCTGAATTCTAGAAGCCTTTGCTAATGAAAGGGAAGATTATGGTTTTCAGTGTAGGTCATGGCCTGAAGTAGAGAATTTCTGAAATTGTCACTGCAGACCCTCCAATCAGACTAACCTGTATCTGCAACTCTCCTGATGAGCTCTGAGCCTTCTCAGTGCTACAAATACTTATATCAGGCAGAGGTGGGTTGGGATCTAATTTAAATTTACCCATCCTAATATGAGTAAGATAATTCTATTATATTCATCCTAGAGAATATATCCTTCATAGAAATATAGGAAGAAAGAGCTTGAATTTGGTTAGGAATATAGATTATGAACAGCCTCCTTATCCTGAAAGCTGAGATAATACCTGTGTCATGTGGTAACAAAAAATAAGATTATTTGTATAAAGAAGTTAGCTTGTAGCAAAGTTTATAGTAAAGTGCTTCAAAATGGCAGCAAGGAAAGGAATATTGAAGGAAAATTTTAAAAGACATTAGGTCAGTTGGTATCTGTTTTTAGCAAGTAAACAAACAAAATATACTTTCTCTTTTCTGCCAATAAATAGGTTAGGAAGCAGCTGGAAGGCAACATCGTCTGGCTTCTAGGAGGTCACACCTTCAATGAGTTATTATTTTATTGCTCCTTGGGAGCCTCCACTGAACGTGGTGTTCTGTCACTTCTGAAATTCTGGGGAGTTCTTTTCAAGATAGAAAATTGACAACTAGTGCTTTTTAAATCATAGAAGGTAGTGCTTGTTGACCCAACATGCGATCCAAAGTGGTTATAAAGTCTTTCGCAAGTGTACTAAAAATGCCTGCCACCTTCCCGTTTCCACCCCTCCACACACAGCTTCTTGTAAATACCCCCTCCACACATACCCCACCATACACGGTGTTCTCTCTGCTAAGAAGGAAACTGTATACAGACGACATGACCTCACCTCACCTTCATTCTCCTCCATGCCCAAAGCTGAGACTGTGGTGGCCAGTCATTTGTAAGCTGTCCAGGCACCTTTGGCATGGCCTTGTTTGAAAAGGTAAGAGATTATTTTTGGGGAATTTTGTAGGAAGGGAATAAAGCAATGAGCAGTGAAGTTGAAAGTTTATGCTCCAGACAGAGACTAAGATAACCATCATGGAGAACGATTTAAGCTTGTGGGAAAATAGAAAGTATGACTATGAATAGGTATGATCTATAACATAAAGACAGATGATTTATAATGTAGAAAAAATATTACAGATTAGAAGTGAAAAAACCAAACAGAAGAGATAAGGGAGTGAAGTAGATTTCTGTGTAGGTAGAGAGTTTAGTATAACGTAGAATATGGAATCCTTCCATGTTCTCCATCATAAAATTCAAAGAAACCTCATGACTTACTCAAGATGCCTGTAGGAGCAGGAGATGCCATTGTGTTTTGCCCAAACATTTGTTCATCAATTTTTTTTCTTTAATGAATGTGTGCATTTTCTAAAATGAATATCAAAGAATGCTTCATTTGTTTATGTATTTAAAATATGTATTGACTACCAAAGATATATAACAACCTCTGCTACACTCAATCCTAGGTCCAGTGCATGCACTTGGAATCCAAGGACCCTACTTGGAAGGGCTGACAGTTTTATGTTAGGAAACAGCTAAGGAAGTGTATTTATGGAGCACATGTGAGATTTCATTACATGCATAGAATGTGTAATGATCAACTCAGGGTATTTGAGATGTCCACTACTTTGACTATGTGTCATTTTGATGTGTTAGATGCTGTGACACTGATAAAGACAGGATATGTAAATGTGGGAGCTCAACGGAGGAACATCTAGCTCCAACAGTTTGCTAGTTGTGGGGAAGAAAGGGTAAGGAAGTTTCCTCAAAGAATTACATCTGAGCAGAATTATGGCATGCCAGCAACCTCAGCCAGGTGAAGGGCAAAGAGAAACGCATCCATGAAAGCCTCCAGGGAGACAGAGATTGCAGTATTCAGAAACTGCAACAACAAATCACATATTCCTGGTCCACAAGATGTGAGAGGAGGAATGATAAGAGATTTGTTGGACAGCAGGGGGATTCAAATCAAGGACCAGCACACGTGAGATAGTTTTTGGCATACTACATAGATTTGACTTCAACCTTACAACATAGTATTTTAAGTTAAAGAGCAATATGTTCATATTTACAGCAGGGAGGTGGAGAAGTGGCTGTTGAGACATTAAAAGAGCAGAATTTACTGGACTTGGAAGACTTAGCACGATACCCTGATTTCTGGCATCTCAGTGAGTTAAGGCAACATGACGAGTAGGAGGAAGAGCAGTTATTATCAAGAGAATGCAAACGGCTTTGAAATGTTGAGTTGGGGTTTCCATGGGATATACAGGTAGAAAGCAGAGTCAGTAGTAAGATACAAATAGGCCTGGGACACAGGAGAGAGTCCCAAAAGGGGTATTAAGCTTCCATCTCTGTAATAGTTATATGGTTGGGCATTTCGTTTGCTTTGTGCTATACAACTATTTCAAGTTCTTTACATTTTCTTTCCTTTTTGTTTTCTTGAGGCAACATCTTGCTCTGTCGCTCAGGCTGGAGTCCAGTGGTATGATCATAGCTCACTTTGGCCTCAAACTCTTCAGCTCAAATGATCTTCCCACCTCAGCCTACTGAGTAGCTGGGACTGCAGGCATAGCCACCATGCCCTGCTAATTTTTTTTTTTTTTTTTTGAGACGGAGTTTCGCTCTTGTTGCCTAGGCTGGAGTGCAATGGCGCGATCTCGGCTCACCGCAACCTCCGCCTCCTGGGTTCAGGCAATTCTCCTGCCTCAGCCTCCTGAGTAGCTGGGATTATAGGCATGCGCCACCATGCCCAGCTGATTTTTTGTATTTTTAGTAGAGACGGGGTTTCACCATGTTGACCAGGATGGTCTCGATCTCTTGACCTCGTGATCCACCCGCCTCGGCCTCCCAAAGTGCTGGGATTACAGGCGTGAGCCACTGCGCCCGGCCCACCCTGCTAATTTTTTATTTGTATTTTTCTGTGGAGACAGGGTCTTACTGTGCTGACAGACTGGTCTCAAACTCCGGGCCTCAAGCAATCCTCCTGCCACTGCATTTTCAAGTCTTAAAAAAAAGCAGTTTAGAAATTATTCACCTTGTTTATAGATCTAAGAGTCTATATTTTAGCAAGCTGTAGGGTCTAGAAATCAAATTTTGAGTGGACAAACAAAATCAAGTTTCGTCTCATTTAGAAATGTGAAAGAAAGAGGACACAGTTTACCTGGTTTTTATGTACAGCAGAGTGTTACTGTAATAGGTTAGCACAAAAAGGAAAAATCCTAAATCACAGTCACTTTGCCATAATTTTTAATAGTTATATTCTCTCATAGTTCTATGGATAACATGCTCATTACAGACACTCTGAAACTGAGGAGAACCAGGGTTCTTCCTGCATGTTTATGTTGAATGTGAAGAAGGTAAGATTACTGCTTCTGTTATACTGTGGAGCTCCTCATTAGGTCTAGCCAATGTGGTTAGCTATACTGTGTCTTCTACCACCACACATACACAGAAAACCTTGGTAGCAAACACAGAATGAACTTCCTTGAAAGTAGAGAAACATTCTTTGGCTAAGGTATGTGAGAATAAGAATGAATGATGCAAACATTGGCAGAAATGCTGATGGAAGAACTGATGGATGCAGATCTATTTCAGAGACCCCTTAACTGTCAGGGAACATGAATTGTCTGGCTGGCTGAATTGAGTCTAGAAATGATGCTCTCTGGCTGCTAAGTATATATATTTGACCAAAAGGTGTGTGAGGGCAGTGTCCATTTCATTACTTGCCCTGAGTCCTCAGGGCTTACCAGAATACCAGGCAGATACATGCTTCAAAAGCCTGTGTTGAATGAATGAGAAAATGAATAGAATAATATTTTCATGAGTAGCCATGGATTGAGGTTAAAATTAATAAGAAGAGCCCCCAAGAGGTCTTGATTGAGCCTTATGCTTTGGGTCACTCTTCTGCTCAGCTGTGTGGAATAATTTGCAGCACTAGAAATGGACTTAACAACTAGGATGAGGGGGTTTTGTTTTTGGATCAAACGTTTTTTCATCATGAAACTACTGGGTGGCCTCTGACATGATGTGTTTAGTTATCAAACACGTCAGTTAATACCATGGAGAGAACACATGTATTAAAAGTGACAGATATAACAAGGGTCAAGGATTAAAGGTGAATTGCAAAGGGCTTTTTACTGCATCTCTGTTGTTATAACAGTTTCTAGCAGGTTGAATACATGAACAACAAGAATGATGAGGAGTCATGGTGAGCAGAATCTCTTTCTCCAGCAAAGCAGGCATTTTTTTCCCCCACATTGAGTTAAATATTCTTTAAATGCTGTAGTTGTTACTACGTATCTTTGCTGTTTGTGAGACAGCACAATCATATTTGAAACATTCAGCAGTTCTTTCTCATTAACTTTCATTTATCTAATTTTCATTGGTTATATTTTCCTTGTTACAAAAGTATTATTGTCTCATTATCAAAAATTAATGAATAAAAAACCAGTATAGACAGTTAAAAGGTGGAGTAATGTAGTAGCCTAAATATGACATTGTTAGCTGTACATTCCTACAGTTCCAATTGAAGATGGCATTTTATCCCTTAATTAGACACAAAGAACTGATAGAGAACTTCCTTTTTGCCTACCACTGCATTGTATGTTGTGATATGTACAAGAATTCCCAATACAGACATGGAAATGATGAATAAATGCAAGGGGAAATCTCATTGCATATCTCTATGTCCAGCAGGCTAAGATAATATTATGCTGTGCAGTGGTGGTAATTAGAGCACATCATGTGACTGTGAGTTTTTGAGGGCAGTGATCAATATCTCTGTATCTTTGAATCCCCAAGGGTGTTGTCTAAAATGTTCAGTTAGCACTTTGAATGAATGAATGCTTATTGAGTAAAGAGTCAATTGCATGTGACAATAAATGCAGTAAGAATTAGTCAAGAGGGAAACAAGTGTGGCCTGCAGTCACCAACAGAAGTTTTAAGCTCCAAGCTACCCAAATGTCTACGTAAATCATATGTTATTATTAAAGCATTTAGATGATGATGTTTGGAAGTTGTGTTCAAAACCAAGAAAAAATTGAGCAAGTTTTGGAAGTTCCTTTCTATTCTGAGTTATCTGCTGTTTACGGTGTTAGGACTATTACTGCTTTATAGATTAATTCTACACTGTAGTAATTAACTGGATAATGAAGGCAAAAAGTAATTAGAAACACTATGACATATCAAGGAATTAGTATCACCTTCCCAGAGGCTTCCCCGTCTCTTTAGCATAATCTCTGTCTCAGTTAAACTTAGGTGTTTACTGCCTCAAAAGCAAGTATTTCCCTTGAAAAGCAGATTTATTTTATTTTTTCTTTTTTGAGGTGGAGTCTTACTCTGTCACCCAGACTGGAGTGCAGTGGCATGATCTTTGCTCACTGCAACCTCTACCTCCTGGGCTCAAGCGATTCTTCTGCCTCAGCCTCCTGAGTAGCTTGGACTACAGATATGTGCCACCATCCTTGACTTTTTTTTTTTTTTTTTTTTTTGCATTTTTAGTAGAGATGGGGTTTCAGTATGTTGGCCAAGCTTGTCTCGAATTCCTGACCTCAGGTGATCCACCTGCCTTGGCCTCCCAAAGTGCTGGAATTACAGAGAGAAGCTGCAACTTTTGTACTAGCTGAATGTTGTTATTCTTCTTCAAACATTTTAGGATAAAGATATAATATGTGATTGTTTTAGGTGACTTTTTGTGTGTAACATTTGAGCTCTAAGGATAAAAAATATATCTTTCTATATAATACATTTCAATATCTATTTAATGTGCCAATTGCAAGAATTTTCTGATTGACATTGATCCTTTTCCTTGAGAATTAAGTCATTTTCTTCTGGGAATTAGTATAATAGATTTATCATATGCGTAAGGGCCTTGACTAAGCTCTCTCTTCCTCACTATTTCTTCAAATGTAATTCCATTGAAAATTTAACTGCTGTTTTAGAGATTACAGTAAGGCAAAGCATTTCTCAGAAGACAAATATAGAACCTAAAGTTACTATAATGACATTTGGCAAATTACATAATCTGAGTTCATTTTTTTCTCTTCTCTCCCTCCTCCCTTGTCACAAAGCCTATAGGAAGGCATACTACATATTTTGACACTTTTTTTTTTTTTTTGCTTTCAATAGCTGTATTCTTACTCACCGCTTTAAAATAAGATGTCTCTTTTATATTTTTTAACTCAAAGGTATACTCAGAGGCTGGAAGACTTTAATGGAGTCTGGCTACTCAGATAGAGCCCCCTTGGTGGTGTTTTCCTTGGCGATATGATTCTGGGACATATTCCCTCAGGACTACAGGCTGAGAACTGTGATTTTGCTAGCAGGCTAGGTAGAAGTAGATCTGTTTCTCAAAATGAGGTTCATGTTAACATCATTCATGTATTGTATTAAACACAAACCAGAATGCCAAGGTTTTATTTACAATGAGCAATATAACTGTAAAATTGGACATGGTGCTCAAGTCAACAACAATTCACAGACTCTTCTCCCGGTAAAGAAGCAACATGGGGATCCAAATTGTAATCAGAATGCCAAATTATCAATTGATAATGAGAAATGCATCTGTCTGATGAGAATGCTTAGTTGGCCCGATAAATTCATTGTCTCCCTGTAGATGAGTGACACAGGATACCAAATTTTCTGAAGGTTGCTAGAGAATACGGCTTTAAAACAATGATAAGGAGTTGATTTTATGTTCTGTCTTCCAGTTAATACGGTTTTAACATTCCCACCTCTACCAGGCTGGCCTCACCAAGAAAGCAATACTGCTTTAGTCCCTATAACCAATGTGGGCACAATAATGTTTATTTTCTGCCTTTATTTTTTCTTTGCTTTTCTCAACCAACTACCTCTCTGCAATAAATGTGTATGACACAATTGATTAGGCTTTTGTCTATCATAGTATTGATTCATTGAGTATCAATCATATTTCAGACTTGCAGCCCTAAAATTACTTCCATATTATCTTTATTGATATTTGGGCTATGTTCAAATGCACCAATCAAACACGTATAGTTTACTGACCTGACCTCACATTTATTTAATTATATTTTTTATTTTTAAATCCTGCAAATCAACTCATTGCAGTCCTTGGCACTGAAAATACCTCTATTTCTTCACTGCATTTCCTGAAGTGGCAAAAATACCAAGATTATGAGACCCAAGGGGAAATAATAGTGATTTCTGCCCCTAGTGTTTAATGCAAATCGAAATGAAAACACGGCTTGCTTTGGAAACGTACAAAAAGCAATAACAACAATAACAAAAAAAAGCTAAAAACTTGATTCTCCTCTTTTAGAGATGGCAAAGAGATAGTAAAGTTGATAAAGAGATGATTTGGGGAATGCAGGTACTTTTTTGCATTAATGAGTATACTCACTTCTAACATCTCCTGGATGTATTTGTGAATTGGCTCCAGAATCTCTTGCTATCATCTACACTACAACTGGAGACACACCATCTCCCAATACAGTTTCTGGATCACCTTCAAAGATGTCAGCTTCTTCACCATAAAGATGGCAAAAAGTAGAATAATTGCACTATATCTTTGACCTTTGTTAAGAATTGATCAGTTTCTTTTTCTAAACTAATATGACAAGCACTTCTAATTTATGTCAATAGATCTCTTTATAGACATGTTTATATTTAAATACTAAGATAATCTGGAACTATGGAATTATACAACTGTATAACAATATTGTACTTGATCAGTTATTGCTTTTCTTTTCCCATTTATTTATTTTGTATTGAGTCCTACATTGGTGAAAGGCCTGGTGCATTGCATTGAGTTCTTCATGTTTGAACTTCACAAAGGTTCAAAGGTTTGCACATGGCCTGGAACGATAAACATTTGTCCTGAAGTCATTCTTCAGCTTCTGACATGGCTTGAGATTTAATTGCCACCTCATTAATATGGGCCATTGGGTGTGAATTTTTCAAAACAACATACATCAAGAGAACTGAGTGAAATGTTTCATGTTCAGAGGTTTTACCACTCCTGTTCCCCACTGCCCATGTTTTGTAAACTTTCAACTTCAACAGACTGGTTTGATAAACATGCCCTGTCTTCTAGGTCATTGGGTTAAAGATCAGTTCAGTCTTTTTGAACTTTTCACTTTTCCTGTGTAAGTATAAGCTAAGTACTTACTGGGTTCCAAAACTGAAAGCCTATGAAGATAAAGGGCCTTATTGAAATAGTGAAGTGAGCAAAATATCTTTATGGTTCCTGACCTTGTCCTCCTGGGCTTTGTCCTTCTATTAGTGAATGACACCTTACCCTCAGTTTCCCAGTATTTATACCTTTCTAGTGTTTTTGCAATTTAGAAAAGTGTGTTTAATAGACCAATAGGGTGACTGTTGTGTAAAAAAATCTTTCTATTTCAAAATAACTAAAAGAGAATAGATTGAATGTTTCTAGCATAAACAAAAGACAAGCATTTAAGGCGATACATATTCCAATGACACTGATTTGATCTTTACGAATTGTGCAAATGTATTAAATCACCACATGTAGCCCGAAAATATGTACAACTATTATGTATCAATTTTTTTAAAAAAGGATACAGTGAAGGAACATAATTAAACTTGATTATTTAATTGCTAATCATTAAATTTTATAGGGAAAGAAGAAGGAAATCTTCAGGAACTGAAACTCATAAGTCAAGGGACACGACTGTATTTAAAGGCTATTTATAAAGCCCTCTATATAAAAGTTATACATAGCCTATACAATAAATAAGAATCTGACATTATACTGTCACCTAGCACAATGCATGCATTGCACACAAAAAGCACTTCATGATTACTATTATTATACAGACAAATACATATTTACTACTTATCAAAGTATTACGTTATTTCTCACATGAAGCCATATCAAAATACTGCTGATTAAATGTAGAAGTCTCTTGCTCCGTTTTCCTCAATGCCATTCTCACTCACTAGAGAAATCTTTTTAATTATTTTTAATTTTAAAATTTTTACTGGTTATGTTAGGCATTCTGGTAGAGCACTCAATTTCTATATCTATCAGAGTTAGGCAATTCACTCTGCAATTGGGAAGATGGAGATTTTGCTCATTTAT